AGATATCTTTTTTTTTAATATCCAAAGTAAAATTAATTATGTATATATATATATGTCATATAAAATAACGTTTTCTATTAAAAAAATAATTTTAAAGTAAAAGTTTAATTTAATATTGAACACAAGATAGCCTTATACCTTCTTATCTACAATATATTAACAAAATAAAATCGTTACCTAATATGTAACAGAAATCAAAAAAAAAATATGTCGTACAAAAATAAATAAATATTAGGAATTTTCCATTTCCCCTGAAAAGGGGATTCCTCCACTTGGTCGGTTGCTCTTTACTATAGGAACGGTTACACATAAATAATGATTAATTTTTTTTTTTAAAATAATTTCACGTTTCTTCTTGCTATCTTGTTCTTAACCCCCCCCCCCCCCCCCCCCCCACACATTTAGGCCACTTATAAGATTGTTCTCCTGATATATTTTCAAAAATAAGTATAGAATTAAACAAAAATATATCTTTTTTTTTCTTCGCTAATCTTTCGTTGGATTAATTAATAAAAAACATTTCCATTGTTATCAAGGATAAGTGATATAATTGTAAATTTTATTGCTGCCCATTATCTTCTTATCTTCTAGCTTCATATCTCACTTTTCATTTATGATGGCACCTAAACTATGGGATCTCTATGCTACCGTACCTAGGTCATGGTTGGTGGGAATGATTTGGAATAAATTTGAACCCGTGATCATATTTAAAACGACATTTACAGCTATTTTACTCCTCTTTTAATATTATAGTTATAAGTTAATCCCCCCCCTTCCATTTTAGCGTAAAAACCTATCATTATTGTTTCATTTTTTTTCTTTTAAAATGTAAATATTTTTGTTTAGCGAATGGAAAGGAGATACGAAAACCGTTGGTAAATATGAATATAAATTTATGACCGTTAATTTTTATTTATTTATTTTTTTAAAAAAAAGTTGTATTTCTTAAGGGTGTGACCTAAATATCAAAATTATAATCAATAAACTTTTCATAACTTTAACCCAAAAAAAAAGGTGAGAAATTAAGCTATTTTTTTTTATCGTAAAAATAAAATAATCAGAAAATCATTTTATATTTTAGAAAATCTACTAAAATTTATCAATTTTTTTAAATTAAGAGAAATTATAAAAATTTTCATAAAATTTGATTAAAAATTTTGAATAAAAAAGTAAGTAATAAGTATATGGCTTTTTCTCAGAAGAATATGACATTCTTGTTCAAAGTGTCACTTAATGTGGAATCATAATTTTGTGCTTTGGTGAAGCATGTTAATTTTCTAACTCTTTGTCAAATGATTGAAATTTCCATTCGAGTTTTTAATCTCTTTATTATTTACTAAAACCAATATCATCACAACTCTATAAGTTTATGATATGTAATAATAATTTGTGACGATTTGCTTTTTTCACATTATAATATATTTTGAAATCTTGGGCTGAGGAATGGAAGACAAATTCTTAGAAAAATTGAAATAAACAGTATTTTTAATAATTGCAAAAAAAAAAAATTCGTAACGCTAGTTTTTTAAAACATGCTTTTCTTAAGCGATATAGTTTTCCAAGCTATGGACATCATTTATTACGCGTTTTTATATTGTTTTCTATACACTAGTATTAGAATCTCAGCATTTAATTAAAAAACACCTATCTCCCAAATAAATCTTGCCAAAATAGTTGTAAGAAATGAAAATTGATAATTGGTATTATTTAAAAAATAAATAAATAAAATATTCAAAATGAGAAGTCCCGCTATATCCTGGACATTATAGGATCTTTACTAATAATTCAAACACAGTTTCAATGCTTATTTTTATTTTTATTTTTTTTTTTTGGCAAAGAGATAATGTTTTGTGATTCTAATGTCTTTCTAATCGAAATTTTTTTTTTTTTTTAAAAAAAAAAGTAGTGAAATATAAAATAGATTTTAGACAAAGAGGAGTAAAATAAATAATTGTAAATTTGTCATCAATTTATTTAATCACTTAATTATAATTACTTGTACATTTCTCAGTTCAAAAAATTGAATAATTATACCTTTTAATATAAAAAAAGGTAATCTAATTACATTTTGTAATCGATTACTGTTTAATCATCTGTAATGCGTTTATTATTATTTTTTTTTAAATATAAAGGTTTGGCCTATTTAGAGGGTATGTGCAAAGGACAAACCAGTTGCGCTCTTATTGACTCATCTAGTAGCGAGATAGCGCTAACTATTGCACACGAAACGGGACATTTGTAATTAATTTTAATCTAATTATATGTAATCACTAGAATCGTAGAATTCTTTCGCAACTAAAGATTTACGAAAAATATTTTAAAATTTTGGGAAGTGTGAAATGTTATAAATATTTGTTTTTACTATCTCTTTTCAGTTCTCCTCATATACTCTATAGAGTAATTTCGCACCAATATGATACTTTAATGGTTTACTAATAATATTTTCGCTATAATATTCTCGTGAGAAGTTTTTAAAATGCGAATTAAAATTTTTTAAACAATATCAAAAGTAATTTTATCAATTTATTACATTTTTAACTAATAAATTTTTTTTATAGCCTAAATATCAATTATTGAATGATAAAATAATCTTCAATTTAATCTTGATAAAAAATTTTTTTTTATAAATAGGATTTATGGTAAGTGAAAGGCTTGGGGCAATAGCGAATGGGGCTTATTATTCAATTTTTAAGCTAGGGATTTATTGCAACTATATATTTTAAATATATTAGAAGCTACAAGTATGTCCAAGGTCACGAAACGCCTAGTGTTGTTAAGGTACCTAACTGTAGTCAACTATAAAACAGCGTAGCCGTTTTTCGAGAATATTCCTTCAAGTTGAGACTCAACTTAGAAGTTTAATACGGTTTTTTAGGCTAAAACTTGACTAAATCACACTATAAATGGTCAAAGTCAGGTAATTTAACAACACTAGAAACTCAAAGTCAGGTAATTTAACAACACTAGAAACGACAATATAAAAAATAAAGAAAGGAAGAAAGAAAGAAAGAAAGAAAGAAAGAAAGAAAGAAAGAAAGAAAGAAAGAAAGAAAGAAAGAAAGAAAGAAAGAAAGAAAGAAAAAGTGATAAAATGTATTTATTTCGGGTTATATTAACATAAAAATATAGATAAAAATTATGGTAAATTTATCTATTTCAAAATTGATTTGTCACTTTATATTACTATTTTTATATAACAAAAGTTTTAAAAAAAATCTGTAAATAGAGAAGCGCCATGACACGCAGCGCAAAGGGATAATAGTTACCCCGGGAGTTTTTCATAATTATTAAATTTTATAAAAATTACCATTAAATATTTTGATAAATTAGCCTTGTCTATTTTTTTTTGTACAAATTTTTATGGACAATAAGAAACCCATCTCCTATAAATAAAAAATTTACTTTCTTTAAATTTTAGAAATTTCATTGATATTTTCATCTCTCCCTCCAATTCCATAAAATGGCATTGAGAATCATAAACGTATACTTTATAACTTTCAAAAGTTGTTAGATTACAAAATGAGGATTAATAAATTAACACAAAATTTTATTTCTCTTATTAAGACTTTCTTAAGGTTTATTTAGTCTTGTTAAACTACCTATTAGTCAACAAATATTCGAATTAACTAAACCACAATAGAAACGGTCAAAGTTAGAACACTAGGTTTATTAATTATATACATTTAATCAAAGAAATTAGCAAATTGTTTTTGTTAATTTTGGAAATTATAAAAAAAACGTTTCCTTCACACAATTGAAGGGTAAAATAGAGTAAAAAATAAATAAATTTTTTAAAATAAACTAGGATTTCTTTGTTATATATTTACATTAATTTTCTTTTTTATAAAAAATTATAGCTATAATGAAGCATCATGAGATGGACTCATATAACTAAATTTAATTAACAATAGCGAAAATTGTATTTATATAAATGGTAATTAAAATTTAACTTTATGTGTAAATAGCCTTCAGATTGAATCTACCAAATTAATATCCGAAAATAAGTATATAGGGATATCATAAATTTGTATAATATTGAATTTTTTTAATTATCTTTATCCCATGGGGCATATAGTTTTTAGCAATGTAATATCATTTATTACACTCCTACGTTATTTTTAAAATAAGAATAATTTGAAATTTTTGTTTTAAACATATATTAGATAACATAATATATGATTGATAATAGGTTTGGAGCAAAACATGACATGGAAAATCAATGCGAGTCATTAGACGTAGGTGGCATAATGCACTATTACACTAAATACCCAAGAAAAGCTGTATGGTCTGCATGCAGCGTTCAAGAAATAAATAATTACCTAGGGTATTATATATAACCATAAAATCAACAATCATTAACACAATCATTATGACTTACTCTTCTTTCATTTATTTTTTGTATTGATGTTGTTAATTGATAGGCTTTTAGCTAATATCTTATTCACTTTTTTTCCCTTCTCTTCGTATATTATATTTTCGAATTTTTATGGACTATTTTTTTTTTAAAGTTAATTTTATTTTCTTTTCCACAATTTTGACCATTTATTAACTTAATTTTATAAAAAATTATAACAATACCAACAAAATATTAAAGCTAAATAAGATGTTCTAAGTTCTAAAGCTACTTAGCTTAGGCTAAACAAAAATAAGTATCAAAGATAGATCCAATCAAGACACATCCTTAGAATTTTTTTTCAACTTGATTTTTCTAAATTACTTCCTAATTTAGGGTTTCCGCGCCTCTACTAGTTTAGAAAGTGTCAAAGTAGTGCTTTCAATTTTATAAATATGCACATGAAAATTTTTAAAATATGTTTATAATTTTATAATTAATCTCTAAAATCATAAATATTTTTTATTTTAATTTTAATTTTAATTTTGAAATTCGTAATTATTTATATTTTAAAAATCAGCATTATAAAATCTAGTTTTTAAAAATAATTTAAACTTTAAAATGTCTTATCGGCAAAGGAATTCCTGACAAAATGATTTATATGGACTTTCACTTTCCTATATTCGCAATAAGACAGGGTATAAGATTCGTTTAATAAATTCCGAAAAGTTATATCATCAATACCAGACTAGTAGTCTTCAACTTGAGGAATCATTTAAAAGTAATATATCAAACTAATTTAATATCGATGTGTAAATCCAATCTTTAATCTTAAAATATGAATCAAAGCTCTGTATCTATAACAGTTTTTTTTGATCTAGGTAAGCTTATTTAAAAGTATGTTAAATTCGTGCATTGCCCTTATAGTGCTAATGTTGAACGATTATTTTGTCAAAAGTTTATAACTTTCGGATCGTCACTCTAGACTTAGGGGTAGCTAATAGCGAATTCACTTTTTTTGAAAATTAGCGGTATTCAACAACACTGGCGGAAAATGCAAAACTAAATAAAAAATTAAGAAAAATTTTAGATTTAAGAATGGGCTGAAAAAAAATATATAAAGATAAATTAGAGATAAGACAGATAAAATATTTTTAAAAAATATGATAAAATTACTCAAAATGATGTGTAGATTTTATAAATTAAGAACGTAAATTTTAATTTAAACATTCAAAATTAGTAAAAATGGGATGAAAATACAAAAAGTTTTGATCTTTTGAACCTAATTTTTTTTCAAGCTTGCCACTGTAAAAAAACTAGCAGTATCATTCTTCAAAAATCTAGTTAAATAAACTTGGCTTACTCACAGAAGAACCTTGAAAGGGGTTTTCGCTCCAGTTATGATTGGCCATAGATATTCTTAAAGCCAACTTAATCTACATTAGCTGCAATGGCAATCTACTTTCTCTCGCTTTAAACCTTTTCCGTTTTTTATATTTGATTAATTTTGAATATTTTATATATATCGTATATTCCATTATATCTGTATTATTTAATTAATAATTACCATTTATTGTTTTATATTTAAATATAAATAATCATAATAGTTCTGAAGTAGAAATATTCAAAAAAAATATACTAAACAAATACTAGAAAAAAATCAGGTTGAATTTATAAAGAGAAACTCCCAAAGTCTGGGGGAAAAAAATATAATCCCAATCATTAATCAGCTAAGATAGTTTGTATATTAGATATAGATATAGTTTGTAAACTTACTGGCTATTCTGTATTACTAGCTAATTAGATGTTAACAGAGTTTATGTATGTGATATATTTTAAATAAATATAATATTCATAAATTAAAAAAAAAACACATAGAAATATGCGATGTCTTGCCAATGGGAATAGTTTTAAAGATTCTCCACCTTCCGCTCCAGTTAATATAAGCAAAACTTGTATCTTCCTTAAATATAAAGAAGAAAATTTTACTTTGGACTTTGAAAATGTAATATTTTCTTTATAAATTTAAATCATATTATACTTTTTACTGTTTATTTTTTTTTATAATCAGAACTTTCTTCCTTTATTTCATAATGCATAAATCAGAAATTCAGCCTATCATATCTTATGAAGTGTAAAATCCGAAATTAACATTTATTTTCATGAGACTTGATTCAGAAATTTTTAAAATATATTGTAATGAATTATATATTTGTATTACTCCTTTTGTTATTTTAATTATTTTTGCAAAGAAAATAATTTTATATGGATGATGAGTTTTAATTTAATCGTCAATATGTTTCATCACATCATCATAACAATGTAGAGGCCTTCGATATGATTGAATAATTGGAACATATGTGTAAATGTAAAAAAATTGTATTTAAGTGCTTAATTCATTTTTATATACATTTTGTATTTGTGATTTAAGACCTATAAACTTTAATATTGCTACATGAGTCTTGTATAACTTATTTTAGATTTAATAATTACCCATAAAACTCTCATTTAGCAAGAAAACGGCTAAAGATACAAATGTATAAAAAATTTAGTTAAAAAATATTCTCTATAGTTGCACATAAATCAAATGTACAAAATACATACACTTCGTTACTTTATTTCTATATAAATGGGAAATTTCAAGAATTTAAGTTTCAGGAAAATAGAGTTACTTCGCCGGGAAAAGTTACTTTATTTTATTTCGCAAAGATATTGATTGGGAATCACCAATTATTTAAATTTAATATTTTTATTTTGATAAGCCCTAAAATCACGAAAATGTAAAACAATGATATTGCTATAAATATTTCCGCGTTTCTGAGTAAAGATTGTATTTAGATAATTGAGCAATATATTTATATATATTTGGAATCCCTCATTACATTGTATATAATATATACTTTAAATATATTTTTGCAATATTTCAAATAATATATATATTGATATAATGTTACAGCTTCTACAAATATTTTTGATTTTACCAGAAATATATTCTATCATGTTTGAAAATACCTATCTTTATGAATTGTATTCAATTTTGATGTTAATCTTTGAAATCATTTAATAATTTTATATTTTAAAAAAATATATGGAAAATCTTATATAATTAATTATGGAAATTTAAAAGTTTATGGAAAAGTAGTCTGAAATTTATAGGCTAGTTATTCCAAACATGCTGGATAACACTTTTCCGGTAAAATCAGATTTTCAATAATATTGACGTTTTACATTATACATTTTAATCAATATCAAATTTAATATGTATATATATACATTTATTAAAGATTCTCAATCATCCAATTACTAACTTTGTTCAGATACTGGAAGTTTTTATTATAGTGTTTGTTAAACTGCTTGTTTAGAAGCCGATTTTTTGAAAATGGCCAACTCAATATTTTAGCCAGAAAAAAATATTGCCTAATCCTTGAAAATTTCGATGATATATTTATTATAGTTTGTTCCTTCTAAGAGCCTTCGTAATCTTTTTCTGGGTTAAAGAAAGAAAGAAAGAAAGAAAGAAGAGAAGAGAAGAGAAGAGAAGAGAAGAGAAGAGAAGAGAGAGAATGAAAATTTTTTCGAAAATTTTTTTTGTCCTTTTTTTTCTATTCAGTTTTTTTTTTTTTGTTAAATTTATTTGTTGTTAACGAAATATTTAAAAATATTAATTATCTTTTTATTAAAGAGTAAATGTGACGCCATTCGATGTAAATCGGAAGGATACATTAGTGATGTACCTGAATTTTTGGATATGCACCATTGCAACCTATCGGACAATCATTTATCGAAATCGGATACCGGATCAGTAATTTATTATTTACCTCTCCTCCCACCTTCTCCTTTTATAATAATTTCTAATATAATTTAACGGTAAAGTTATAACCATTAACTTTTTAAGTGGGAAATATTTCAATTAACTAGTGTTTTTAGAAAATTACCTAATTTTGGTTAGCTATGTGAAACAGCGAATCTTTTTATACAAACATATGTGAAATTAATCTTCAAGTTGAGAAATCAACTTAGAGGAAAAATTTAATCAGCTAGGCTGAAAGTTTGACTAAATTACAGTAAAGATGACCAAAGTTAGTAAATTTAACACTCACCACATTTAACTATAAAATTTTTTTTAATGACGCTAGGTGTTCTCCAACTTACCATTTTCACGTTATACGGATGAGTTTCAAAAAAATAACCCTCTAAAATAATCTCGATTTGATTTTTCTCTAGCTAAGATATGATATTGAACTACGGCTTAAATAAGAAACTGCCTTGTCTCACCAATTGCAAGTTTAAACCGGTGTTGACAGCAAGGGCACGACCTTGCTTTCCACTGGTGACTTTTGAGGGGTCGTTTCTTACTAAGTATCAAGCGGCGCAATCACCTCTGCTCGAAAGCACTTAAATCAGCGGACATTCCTTCTAAATTCGAACTAATCGGCATCTTTAAAACCTTCGTCAACACCAGGTGGAATCTCAATTCCTTTCCCCCAGCTTCTAGATTGAGACTTCACCTGCATTTGATTTATATGACGCCTCTAACCAACCTTAAAGTAGATGGCCTCGCATTTACAGAATTTCGCAAAAATCGTTTCCTTTTTATCCTAACGCATCCGCTTGCTCTATTCTAGCATCTTTCGGTGGCAGGGATCTTAGGGATGATTATTCTCGACAAAACTGCTTAGCCCAAAAAATCCCTACGACAATGAATTTAACTATTTAAGCTCTATCTGTTCCATCTAACAATCTCTAGTGCCTCACTCAACATTACCTTCTTCTCCCCTGTAATTCTAGCTTACTACTCTAAATACTTTTCAAAACCCTCCTAAAATATATTTTATTCTTAATGCCTCAAACGAGATAATACATTTAATCAAGTTAGGAAACTAATTGAACCGAAAATAATAATTTATATTGAATAATTATTCAGATATCGCTTTACGAATAGGTGAATATAAATGGTTTAATCACTTTAACCTCTATATTTTGTTTTAGTTATATACATCCAGTGGACATAAATATATAATTTTTACTTAGGGATACGTATACTTCTCTTGGAAAAAATTGCCCATATTTCGATCAATTATTCCTTATTTTTATTCCTTTTCTCAGACCCTAGTGCTATAGTTCGCCATTTTTATAAGGTATTCTAGAATAAACAGCTTAGAATATGTAAATAGGTGTTGAGTGTGCAGATAATCATGGTTAAAACCAAATAATATTTGATAAATGACAGAATTGAGTAATTACATTGTATGTATGTTCCCTATTGGGATATGGTATCTACCAAAAGATTAAAATCATTTAGTGAGGGGCCATTTATAAAATTGAGAATTAATCATTTCACTGGAAAAGTATACCCATAATGTAAATTTTAAGTGCTTATATTCACGAGATTTAAAATTTTTATAATTCACTAAAACGTAAAAAAATACTAATATTTTCTTGAGTGAGGGGAAAGAGTTTCCCTGGAAGATGACCTCTAATTACCTCTATAGTTAGGGCCAGAATGTGGCGTTAAGTTTAGTTACATACATATGGAGGTTAGGCTTTTGATTCCCCTATCGGCCCTATACCCAAATAAATTTCTTTTTTTTTTAAAATATACAATCATTGAAAATCAGCTATCTCAAAATAATGAACGCCCTACATACATTTTTCCTATTTCTTATATGTAAAAAAATAATATTTTTCTACTCCCTTTAAAGTTATAATCATATACGCCCAACTGTCAAAACAAGTTGTTATTTATTTATTTATTATAAACGTGATATTATTTTTTCATTTCGGTAGAAGGTAAGCTATAATAATTCATGTCCATAATTCTAGCTTATTTATCTATTTCCTTTTTCCGTTTCAAGGTATGTTCTAAGGGGACATGCGTCTTAGAAACAACAATAGAAGTTAAAGCACAGGCCGATCCATGGAGCTCCTGGTCACCTTGGTCACCCTGTCGTGGAGATGACGTTATAGGTATCCAAAAAAGGAACAGGAAATGCGAAAAGTCGCGGTATAAAAGCCAGAATTTGAAAATGATTTTTCGAAATTAAATAAAAAAACGTGTTAAAAGATTTTTTTCAACTATCTCTATTTTTTTTTAAATTAGCATCTTGGATTCAATTTTTCCCTTAAAATTCCTTAGTATTTTATTTAATTTTTATGCAAGGTTAAATCAATCTTTTTATGATTTTGAAATCATAAATTTTTAAAATATTCATTTTTTTATGATTTTCTTTAAAAAAAAAATAAAATTTTGTTCAAAATTTTAGGCAAAAAAAAAGGATAAATAAACTTTTGATTTTAAGGTTACAATTTTGATGTTTGAAATATTAAATGTTATACTTAATTTTTTTTAAAAAAAAGGAGAAATTTTATTAATATAAATGTTCTTTTATAAAATTTAAAGGCAGATTTCTAAAAAAATCTTTCTGAATTTCCTCTTATAATAATTAGTGTTGTTAAACGGTTAGTTTTGAGTCGATGTTTAATAACGGCTAACTCAATATTTTACCCAGAAAAGTGTTGCCTACATCTCGAGATTTCGCTACTAGATATCCAAACCTTTGTTCCTTCTATAGACAAAATCTTCAGGCTTGCGTAATATTAAGTGACAATTATCATTATCATTCTTTTTAAGGTACTTTGAATTTTTTTGAAGTAAATGATACCGGAAACGTTAAAAAATGTATCTAAGCATTTATCGGACAGGAAATTGAATTCTGAGTTTAATGATATAAATACTTAAAATTACGTTTAAAATGCCATTTCCTTCTGGAATGTTTACGAGAAAAATATATTTTTTATAACCGGAAAGGTTAAAAAATATATCTAAGCATTTTTGGACAGGAAATTGAATTCTGAGTTTAATGATATAAATACTTAAAATTACGTTTAAAATGCCATTTCCTTCTGGAATGTTTACGAGAAAAATATATTTTTTATAACCGGAAAGGTTAAAAAATATATCTAAGCATTTTTGGATAGGATCGATAAAATATTGAGGTACCCGATTTAAAAATTCTGCTCTAAATGAGCCGTTTAATAACACTACTTTATAATATTACAAACATTCTTGAACACAGAGGCATAAATTTCTTTATTTTTTTTTATACATGTATGTTATCCCCTCCATCCCCCTCAACCAAGTCTAAAGTTAGGAGAGAAAAAGTGCCAAGGAAATAATACAGAGTACAAAGTGTGCCATAATAAGGTAATGATAATAAATTTTTATTTATTTATTTGCTAATTATCTATATCTATCAATAATTCTTACTTTTTTCCGATAATATAATAAATATATATATATCGCTTATTGGGATACGGAATTCATTTTGGGAATGGAAATATCGAATAATTTTGGATCATTTTTTGGGAGTCATTTTTGAATTTGAGAAAAATAAAAATCATATTTAACCGGAAATGCATTTCAGAGCACTCCCCACCCCCCTCACTTTACTCTGTGAATATCTGGAGATATTGCCTTTTCCACTGTTTAAAATTCTTTAAAAATTTTATATCCATTTTGTTTTTATATATATTTCTAACTTTTTTTTCATGCTAATCGAAAAAACAGACAAAAAATTTAAAATAATAAGAATACTTTTTTAAAAAAAATTTACGTGGAAGGCTACTCCAACATATGCCTGAATGTATTTCCGGTTCAATTCATTCTACCCAGATTTGCTAAAATTTCTCTTAATAAATAATAAATATGAAATTGAAAAATTCCGAATATTCCATGGAATTCATTATCCAATACAATATCGATTTATGCTAGGAGTTTGTTTCAAAAAAGGCCCATAGATGCCCAAACATTTTCTGGGCATCTTATGAGGCATACTCCAGGCTCACATTTAAATTTTTTTCTTTTGCTAAAATCTTTACTGGATCGTTTTACCCCTAATTTATTCCTATCAAAATATCATCTCAAAAAAAGGTTAGCAGAAAAAACAAAAAAAACATGGCTCTCTGTAAAGAGCACAACTCAGCGTCGATATATAGTGCCGAAGGTATTTTAATTTTAATTTTAATTTTAATTTTTATATTAAAATATATATAATATTTATTGGGGTCTTGAGAGAGAGACCCTGTCAAGCTAAACAGGGTTCGGGTAAATAATAATGAAATTAGGACCGGGGTTGATTTGAACCTAGAAAACTAATTCGGCTCTACATCTGGCTATAACCGAATTTCCTTTTCAAATTTCTGGAAGCTCCCATGTTTGCCATATATTTCAAATATATATTAATTTTTTTACAGCTGATTATCCGTGTCGTTTAACCTGCTTCGTTGGACCTAATTTCACGGATTATGGAAATGCTGCAGATGGAACTCTCATCAAAACGGATAATACGATAAGCATGTGTCTAGATGGCTCTATTATAGTTAAAACTTTTGTTATGTTATTACTCCTCCATTTTTTTTATAAGAAAAACCTATTAAGCGTTTTATCTCATCTATTTAAGAATCTTAGTAAAATACATACAATATACTCTCGTATTTTAAATTTGTAACATCTGATTTATCCGGAAATGCATTTAAAAATATGATTAACAGATGATTTTGCATTAAAATCTGTTATAATTTTTTTTAAAAAAAATTTATATTGGGTTTTTATATAGATTTTACATATAAATAAAAAAAAAATTTACCAAATACTATCGCATATTAAGATAGAAAAATAAGTGATAGGCAGTTAGCACTACCTAAAAATATATTTTAGCACACCATCCCTTTCCAGGGAAATTTTGGAGAATTGGTCTTCCAATATACAGACCCAATTAAACCGCGAGAATGAGGGAAATAGATGATTTATATTAAAAATTTTTTATTTCTTCCTCAAAGCCTGTAGGATGTGACGACGAGTTTTATTCAACGGCTAAATGGGACAAATGCGGAATATGTAATGGGGATAATTCACGATGCTATCCTTTCGAGGCTGAGGAGATGATCACATTAACTAAAGGTAACTATGTTAGATATAAATTATGATCGCTGAAGGAGACCTGGGTAAAACAATTGATTATTTTGCATCTTCCTTCTCATAACATTTTGAAACTTAGGAGCTATGATAAGCACCATTTTCGCCATTAGCCCCATACCCAGGGTAATAAAAAAATGGATAAGGATAATGGAACTTAGCCTTTATTGTTACATTGAACAAAATAATTTTCAATTATTATATCCATTTCAAAAACACTTTTAAATATAAGCTACTCAATAAGGGGATGAAAATATTTTGTCAAAAATAGCATATTTTGAATGTGACATTTCAATTATTTTTCACCTCCGCCACTATATTTTTTAAAAATTATATTCCAACATAACGTACAAACTATTTATTGATGTTTCCTTTTTGCTCCAAAATATCCCTTTTTATATGATGTATAGTAATCTTTAAAACTTCCCTTTTTACAGCTTTAATCGGACAGAATATTTAAACCAGTTTTATCCCAAAGGAACTTTAGGCCAAAGTGATATATAATACAAATTGTTATTGCGTAATCTTTAGTCAATTGGGCTATCCTTTAAATATTATTTTATATCTATGAACTTTATGTGAACATTTATGCAGATTCTTAAATTACGAATCTTAATATATTTATTGCTAAAAGCAAAATAAACTAAATTTTTTTATATAGTCAAGCCGTAAAAGGTTTTTCAAAAGATCATCATATATAAGTAATAGCGCCATATTTAAGGTCTTATGCGGATTAAAACCTTTTCTCGTTAACATTGTACTTAACCCGGTCTCCTTTATGGCCAATAGAATGTTTTACAGGGTGTTTTACTAGACTGGTTTAGGGTATAATGTTTTTCGGTTTCCTAAACTTATGGTAAATTGTCCTATCTCTTAGTGGTGTAATTATTTTTTGGTGAATTTTTTTAAAAAAAATTCATATTTTATTTTGATTTTGATTTTCCGAATGAATTTTAAAATTATATACCTATTTCTAATCAAGCTGAATAAGATAGACATGATATATAATAAAGCAAGCACATATAAATCGTCTTCTACCACGAAATATTATTATTTCGATTTATATAAATATGACAGCTAGATGTCTACATATTAGATTGGGATCTTTGATTATTGGGATCCATTATAAATTCCATTTAGTCCTAAAGTTTTTCACAGGGGCACAAAAAGAAAGAAAGAAAGAATCAATGCATAAATTGGTATAGATCAAAATAATTGAAAAAAATGTTCCATTATTCGTTATAGCAAATAATTTTCAATATTATTTATTTATAGGATATCTGTCCAATAAACAAAATTAAGGAAACAAATGGAAAAATGAATATGAAATCTAGGGCGTTCCCTCCAAGCGACGCGCAGGGTGTAGACCTCCATCCTGTGAAAAGTAAAGTAAAGGTCAAAGCAAAGAAGACAAGACTAGCAAGTTTGAATATTGGGACGCTTAAAGGTAAAACGAGAGAATTGGCATCAATTGAACAAGAGAAAAGTTGGTGCATACAAGAAACGCAATGGAAAGGACAGAAGACTTTGATGATTGGAGATGGGTATAAATTGTACTATAATGGACTTGTTAGCAATAGGAACGGTGTCGGCATCATCCTCAGTCAAGATCTAACCTCCTCAGTAGTAGAAGTCAACAGGATCTCTGATAGACTAATGAAGATAAAACTCTGCATTGGTCAATCAATACACATATCATTATATGCTCCTCAAACCGGTTGCAAGGAAGAAGAGAAAGATGACTTTAGAGCTATCCTTGATGAAGCAGTAATGGAAATCCCTAAGGATGACCTAGTCATAATTGGTGGTGACGTAAATGCGCATGTGAGGAAAGCAAGAGATAACTACAAAAGGCATCATGGTGGTTTTGGATATGGAGAAATGATGAAGGAGATCACGTACTGAAATTTGCGCAAGTCTTCGACCTTGTCTTAACCAACACCTACTATAGGAAAAAAGACAGTCATTTAATAACATACGAAAGTGGTACAAAGAAAACCCAGATAGATTACATGCTAATCTCTCGCAGAAGATTAAAAGTGATAGACTGCAAAGTCATCTTAGAAGAAGATATCGCCGAAAAACCCATGTCATGGATTTACACATCACAAATAAATCTACTCAAAACAAGATAAAACTGGAACCATGCATCAAATGGGGTAAATTAAAAAAAAAACAATGACAGATGCCTTTGCAATCAGTGCAAACATTGAAACAATAGATTCCTCACAAGTCAGTGAAAAAATGTGGACAAAGCTTTCATCCAGATTTATTGACACTGCCAAATCGACACTAGGCTTGACAAGAGGAGGCAACAAATCATACAAAGAACTATGGTGTTTAAATCAAGAGGTACAAAACACTATACAGGAGAAAAAAGCCCTTTATAAAATATGGTACAAATCCAAAAACGCAGATGACAAGTCAAGATACAAAAAATCCAAGAGATTAGCTACAAAGGCATTGGCTAGGGCCAAATCTATGGGATACGATGACATGTACGAAGATCTACATACCAAAGAAGGGCAAAATAAAATATACAGATTAGCCAAACAGCGAAAAAAAAACTCTAGGGATATAAACGAAGCTTCGAAAGTAATCAAAAATAAAGATGGAAAATTGATAATAAAGGAAAAAGAAACAATGAATAGATGGAAAGAATATTTTCAGGTGCTTCTCAATTTTAATCCCCACATATTGCATCTAGACGAACACTCCCCTTGTCAAAACCTTGTACAACCTATAACAGAACAAGAAATAATCACATGCCTCAAGCATATGAAAAACAACAAAACTAGGGGTCCAGACGATATTCCAATAGAAAGCCTTAAAGCACTAGGAGATGATGGAATACATCTCCTCACAAATCACTATAAAATACTTGGAAATGAAGAGATTCCCAAAAAATGTAGGCAGAGCTATTTAGTTTCTATCTTCAAAAATAAAGGGAATCCACACAAATGTCAAAATTACAGAGGCATAAAAATAATGTAACACTGTTTAAAAATATACGAAAAAATAATAGAAAAAAGTTTAAGAGACATAAAAGAAATAGGAGAAACTCATTTTGGCTTTATGACTGGAAGATCAACAGCTGATGCTATCAGCGCAATTAGGCAAATGAGTTAAAAATACAGGGAAAAGAACAAAAAGCTTCACATGGTCTTTCTCGATCTAAGGACTTCGAGAGAATCCCAAGAAAACTTATCTGGTGGGCGCTACGCCACAAAAAAGTTCCCGAAAAATATATAAGAATAATACAGGATATGTATATGGGCCATACAACAATGGTCCGTAGCACAACAGGTACTTCAGCAGGCTTCACAATAGCCGAAGGAGTTCATCAAGGGTCGGCTCTCAGCCCACTTCTCTTCATTACAGTGATAGATGTATTAGCACAGTCTATACCTCAAACAGTACCGTGGAATATGATATTTGCAGATGATATTGTGATACTTGCCGAATCCAAGGATGAGTGAGTTGGATAAAGTTCCTAGAAACGCACGGATTAAAAGTAAATAGAGAAGAGACGGAGTATATGGTGATAGGAGGAGATGAAACAGAGAGCATTGATATAAATGAATGTCAGATATCGGCAATTGAAAGCTGCAAATTTGGGCTCCACTATACAAATAAATGGCACAATAGAAAAAGAGATAAAGAGTAAGAGTAATCAAGGCTGGTTAAAATGGAGATCTTCTGGAGTGCTATTTGACAAAAGAATCCCACACAAATTAAAGGGAAAAATTTACAGTTCCATAGTACAACCAACTATTCTATATAGTTTAGAAACATGACCAACCAAAGAATCAGACGAGAGAAGTCTACAAACTATGGAGATGAGAATGCTGAGGATGATTGCTGGGGTAACAAGAAAGGATAAAGTGCGCAGTACAAGAATACTAAGTAGTTTAAAGGTAGTGCCCATTAAGACTAAGTTAATGGTAAACAGACATAGGTGGTATGGGCACACAATGAGAAGGCCTATGAATTACATAGGAAATAAAGTTGAGAGTTTGGAAGTGATCAGCAAACGTAAAAGAGGAAGGCCAAAACTTCAATGGGGCGTAAAGTTAGAGCCAATATAAAGAAGTATAAAATAGATAAAAGAGATTGTATAAATAACATAAAGTGGAGAGAGATGTTGAAGGAGCTTACCACCAAAAAAGGTGAAAACTAAAGAGAAAAAAAAAAATTAGATCAAAATCTGAAACCCAGATTCGATCATATCTCTTGCTATCTCCAATAAAGCTCTTTTAGATATTTCAAGAATTTCTAGATTTCTAGATTCGTTTTAGCAATTTTACCATCAACTTCTTCATAATTTTGATTCTTTCACAGACTTAATGCCAGCTAAAAAGGGTTAGATATTTTTAAAACAACTTCACCGAGTTTTAAAAAAGACGGAATAAAAATTTCTAGTAAAATAAAGGGAACCTATACGAGAATCTGATGATGAATTTTTATGCATCATTTCTCTAGCAGTTGTTTCAATTAAAAAGGAATGGGGATTATTAATATTAAAACGATCCGAAATACTTAGAAAGCTTTGCTCATTGGGGAAAGAAGGAAATATGGCTATAATCTGGGTTCCAAATTTGTCATAAAAGAGGGCAGCATAAAATGTTTTGATTGACAATAATCATAATTCAAAAAGAAGGATAACTTTATCTTGAGTCAATTCAATCGTTTAAAAATATTTGTTCACGAATTCAATTTCGTTAAAGATTTTTTAGTGTTACTAAAACCAAAATATTTAAAAAAGTAATAATTCTAAGAGAGGCAAGTTAAAATTATTAGGCTTATTAAGCATAATAAACAAGATATTTAAATGACAAATTGCTCAAATATTGGTAGATATTGATATATAAATTAAGCGAAGAAAATTAATTAAAATGATTTTAAAAAAACGAAAATTCATAAAATACTGGCAAAAATTTAGTTATATCAGACTAAATTAAATATATCAGACTATCAAGTACAAGTTGTTCTGCTCTATTCGACTTGAAAAGATTGCACTGCCTGAACTGTCCTTCTTGAAAAGATTCAGATCTAATGGCACTCTCAGTGGCTATGCCTTAATCCCTCGGAGAAGATCGATTTCTAATATGGGACTATTCTATAATTGATTTCTTAGCCCCCCCCCCCCTCTAATTTATTCTCAAACTTCTTTGATCTTAAAGAGCCGCCAAAAATATAAAAATAATTCGGAAAAATCAGAAAGATCATATTTTAAAAACACCTATCATCTCTTACATTGTGACCACATTCGGTAGCCGGTGTTTAATCCATCTACAAATAACTCGATTCATACATCCTTAAATTTTACCCCTCCCCTTCTAATAGTTTTTATTTAAATGCCATGTATAACAACCAAAACAAAATATTTAATTATTAATTCCATTCTTTGTTAATTATTTCATTTTATATGTGATGAAATAACTAATAAAATATAGTATATATATACATATGAGTTAGCAATTTGTTCAAGTGCTGAGGTATTTAAAGCCCCAATATGGAAGCGAGAAGATGTAAACGTTATGATAAAATAATTTCAAAAAATTATTATCCTGAAAGGGAGGTGGGGGGGGGGTGATAATCAGCTGCGATTAGCGTTAAATACCTCACCGCTTTAACAAAACGTGTGGCCATCCATGAGCAATTATTTTTCTAAGTATAATATATTTTACCAGAGTTGTAATTGCTCCTTTTTAATTGTAGTTATCTCCCGCTCCTACCTTTAAAAAGGAGCTAGCTCCTGATTCCGCTAAAAAATTTTAAAAATGAGGTAGCTCCCGCTCCAAGTGATGGAGTGGCACTCCATAACCAATCCTTTAGTTTTCATTTTTTAGAAGGTATACGAAACAAAATCATATTTTTTTTTATCAAAAAGCTTCTATTTATATTAAATGATCTATCAAAATATTTATAACCTTTTATAAGCTTTTAAAAGTAATAAATTTTCTAAATTAGCAATTAACAATTATCCACGCCTCTCCTTTGACCTCTATTGCAATACTAAATAGACGCTCCATAAGTGCACTAGAGGGAAGCGGGTGTTAAATCAGGAAATTTATCAAAAATAGTAATTTTGGTATCATAATTTAAAAAAAAAATATTTGAACTAAATCATATCAATATATTTATAATAATTTTAACGAATAACAGTCAGGACAAATATAACGTATTTGAAGGAAGGCACAACATTTCTACTTTTTAGACTAACTTCAATAAACTCTAAAGGATCCGATGGAGCTATAATTAGTTTAGGTGAAAATATTTTGTTTATCACAATAGTTCGTAACAGAGAACCCTTGAAAACCGGAACTAATCTTAGAACCAGAGCCTCGAGCTACTCTCTTAAAATTTCTAGAAACGGAAACTAATTTATATTTTAAAGTTCTCAGGAAACCCTTTCAGAACGGGTTTCTAACAAACTTGCTAATCGAATATTTAAAATATTTTTTAAACAAGTGCATTTAGCCGATTTAAAAAAAAATATTCACGAGATTTTAGCTAAAGATGACAGAAATGTTTGGAACGGATATTGGTCATATTTTCAAGAGTCGTTTATCGACATTCACATACCTTAGAAACACTCTTTCAAATGAACCCAGCCCCGATTCTCTTTTCAAAAGAGAATTCTGAACCTGAATTTTAGAATTTTTTAACCTAGCTTTCCTGATCAATCTTAATTTTATTTAGGCGAGTAAGTTATGATTATGTTTAAATTTATAAAAATATTAGTATCACCTAAATAACTTCTAAATTTCCGAAAAAGATGATATAGAAGAAATACGTTTAAAGATAGATCTTGTCTAATATATCACATTTATCTCAACATTTATTTTTTTTTAGTTTAATATCTATATTTTTTAAAACTAAATAATTAGTATAATATCACCATTTATTTAGAAAATGAATGTTTAAATAATTATATTTTGAAATCGACATTTAGTGTTAAACCGAAATGGAAAGAACTATAAAGGGAATTTTATAAAGAAGCTTACTGATATAACCTATGAGAAAAATAAAGATTTTGAAGTCATAACTTCGGAGAAGCTAGCAAGTCCCCTTACGATACAAGTGACTTTACATTTACTCATTATTTTATTACCCGTTAGCACCAAATATTCAATCTAGTTTCAATTGTCAATATATGTAACCAACACGTTAAGATTTTAAAATTGTTTTGATGTTCTAAAAAAAATATTTAAGAAAATTAAGAAAAATTACACAAATGAAAATTGTGATACTCATATATAAACAAAAAAATTTGTGTTTTGGATTAATAAATGTGTTCATTAAGTTTATATAAGCTATAGAAGGAATAAAACATATATGTAAGGTTTTCGAGAATATGAATTGAACTGAACAATGAAAGAAAGAAAGAAAGAAAGAAAGAAAGAAAGAAAGAAAGAAAGAAAGAAAGAAAGAAAGAAAGAAAGAAAGAAAGAAAGAAAGAAAGAAAGAAAGAAAGAAAGAAAGAAAGAAAGAAAGAAAGAAAGAAAGACAAAAAGGAAGAAAAAAAGAAAGAAAGAGAAAGACTGAAAATCATGTTTTATGGAGATAAATGGCGTTTTAGTTTTCCAAAATTGGCACTTATTCTATACCAACGGGAAGTTTACTTAAAGGACATTTTCTATTGCTGGCTTAAATTATTAAATTAAAAAATAAATAAATAATAAATCAACTAATCTAGAGCAAATTTTTTTTATTTATTTATGGCAATTCCTAAATTCCTATCATACTAAATTAGATTTAACCTTTAAACCATGTTATATTTTATTTTTTGATTCATAGATGTAAATTATATATTTCAATTAGGATTGAAAAATTAAACTTACATATTTTATGTATGTTGTGAATGTGTATATTATAAACAAAATGTACTTTGTTATGACTTTCCTCTCTAAATCTTTGGGTCGATTTCAATGCCGAAACCCAATTTATTATACTGGTGCAGGGTCTGTACCTGATATACTTGCATATAATTTAATTTTATCCAGAACAATATTATGCAAGCCTGTAGATTTTGGTATAGATGTCACAAAGGTTTGGACATCCGTTAACAAAATATCGAGGCACAGGCAATATTTTTTCTTGGCTAATATATTTAATTAATCGTTTTTAAAAAAATCTGCACAAAGATTAGCCGTTTAGCAACACTACTTATAATTATAATAAATTAACGCGGAATAAAGTAAATAATAGTTATACAAATACAGAATAACATCATAATCATATATAATACTAATATATATATATAGATAATGATAATATTTTTAATAAAAAATTTTTTATATAACAGATTCTAAAGAATTTAGCGGTCAACATGGATGTAGGTTATAAACTGAGATACGCCATTCCTAAATGATGACCCATTCATTATTAAATTCCTTATATCTTTTGTCAATTATTAAATTTCAATTGATTTATTATTTATTTATAAAACAAATATAATATTTTAAATATAGTTTATAGAATATCAATTCCATCAGTTCATTTTTAAAATTCCCTTTTTGACAAAATTTTTTATTATTATTAATATGTAGTTATTATATTAACATTAATATTGCTTTTTTATAATTTAATATAACTTTGTTTTTGAATTTTAATTAATAAAATATGAATTTTATATTTCCCATGCGTCCCATATATCGTACTATGCGAAAATTTTTATTCGTTTATATAATAATATAAAAAAAAATTAATCTACCTTAAAATTCGTTAATTTTTAAATAAGAGTTCAAAATATAAAACGCTGAACTTATCTACTGATACATAAAACAATAATTATTTTCGCCATTTAATGACTTAGGGTCATCAAATTTTATTAATAAGTTTTAATTATTGAGATGATTTAAATTCTTTATTTTTTTTAACTAATATAATATAATTATTAATAATTGAAATACAATTTATATTATATAAAATTTATAAAAAAAATATATTAATAAATAAGTGCCAAGTACGGGATAATATATTTTAAAGAGTACTTCAGAAATGCTTTCTAAGATGTTAGAAACTATTTGTTCAAATATCGAGTATTTTTTAAAATGCTTTATTTTATTTATGCGATCTGATTATAGGGATGTATAATAATATTTTTAAAAAAAATTTAGTTATATTTTTACTTTGTATATATCCTATTTTTTAAGTTAATGGAATACGCTATACACATTATAGTTTTTTTATAATATATAATAAGCTGGCGGGGGAAAAAAAAGCGAAATTCCAATATATTTTAACTCGTAAAAATTGGATGCCTGAAATATGGTCAAAGTTTGTATTTTTATTGACAATGCACTTTTCATCTATTTTTTATGACCAGTAATAGTGATGAATTAGAAAAATATAAATAGATTTTTGTATCTTTTTATCAAATTCTTTTCATAATATTCTTTATATTTTTTTAGTCAAAAGAATTGGTCTAAGAATTATAAAACTTGTATCAATGATTCTTTAGGCTTCAATAGAGAAAACTTAATCCCATTTTTTTAAATCATAACCTAGAAAGTTCGAATATCTATTCATAATCTTTGTAGTACCTTGGTACACTAATTGCGGTAGGTTGGAAATTATAGAGGGAGGTTAGTTTGCAATAGAGTAATTCCATGTCAAATCAACCTGATTGAATTATGGGTAATAATCATATATTATATTGATGGTTTTTTTTAAAATTTTTTTTAAAAATACATTTTAGGGAAAAATAAATTTTGATATGGCCAAGGTTTGATTTTATTATTTATTTTTTATTAATATATCTGTCGAAGATACTATAAATATGAACTAAGCACACGTGACCTAACCCACCAGGGATATTTAACCTTAGTTATTTATAAGATACTAAGAATTTGACAACAGCTCGGTTAAAATAAACGAGGGATTTGTTGGCTTTCTAAAAATAGATTCCAGTACTGGGCAGAATCTTGGTAGAATTATTTTTATCATTATCTAAATTGGGATTAGAGATAAAAAAAATAATTGTATTGGACAAGATTAAGATAAATGAATCAAATATGAAAGGATGTTATAAATGGATTAACCCTTCAATATTCCGGTGAAAAAATGACGTTAGTACTCGTGGGTAAATGTAAATATATCTCCAGTAATATTCATTATTTTCATTTGATATTTGGATATATAAGATAGATCTAACCTTAAGCTTGATAAAATATTTAAATATTTTTATTTCTTAAGCCTAGATTAAAGATGATGAGGATAATTATAATTTGTGCCAAATTTTTTTTATAAAAGCTAACTTTTTTAAAATTTCAAATTTCAAATTAAAAAAAAAACTTATCCATCATATAATCATGATCATAATATGGAATGGATCTTTATTCTTCAATATAAAAAAAAATACACTAATACATTCAAATATAAAAAAAATACATACAAATTTACTCTGGTGGGGTCTCAAGAATCCCAATCAGTCACAAAATGTTTATATCTTAAAAACTACACAACCGGAATATATGAAATTTGGAATATAGATTCTAAGATATATTTGATGAAGCTACTGAAGAATCCCAGATCATAATATTTAACCGTTTTCATGTAATATCATTTCTAGCATACCTGGGTTACTGATCATATACCCCACCAGAGTATTGAAGGGTTAAAGATCCAATATTACAAATAGATAGGGAATCGTTTTTATGCCTTGAGCTATATCTGATCCAATATTACAAATAGATAGGGAATCGTTTTTATGCCTTGAGCTATATCTTAAATTCGCTACTTAGTGACAAGACACTGTCATCACTGTCGCAAAATTATTTTTAGGCATTATCAAAAAATATATCTTCTCTTTTCTGTGAGTCAGACATGGAGAAGGATCATTTAAATAATTTTACGTTAATCCCGTTACTTGAAACGCGATGGGAATGTAAGATGGAGAGGGTAAAAGACATTAGAAATCAGGTTGGTGATATTTATTCACTAAGAGACATATGCGAAAAAACCTATGACTCCAAATATTGCAATGTAGCCATTTCATTGGCTAAAGTATTAAAGCAATTTCTATTTTTTGGTTAATTCTTGTCTTCCGGTTTGTATGTATAATATCAATAGGTTGTGTTTAACTGCCTAACATTATTGCTATGTAGAAAGATCTTTTATGTTTTTGTATCTGAATTATATTATTGTTTGTTTTATGGAATAAATGGCGTGAATGAATATGATTAAAACTACAATATTAGCGAAGTATATATAAATATATGAACTATTTAAAGTAATATCTATCTTTTTCGTAACAGTTAACTATAACTAGTAATATTTATGAAAATGATTTGCCTGTATTTAGTTACATTTAGTAGGAGGATGTATCTGGTTACATAATTTTTTTAAATTTTATATTTAACTGTTCATTTTTTTTCAATATTTGAATAATAGCTATTATAACAAAAAATGTTTTAAATATTGAAAATAAATATACAAACAATAATGTATTGATTATTTATTATATTATGTTTTTTTATTAAATATTTTACATTTTATTTAGTTCAAAATTTTTTATAATTTAAAAAAAATAAAATATAAATAAAATAAAATTAAAATTAAAATTAAAATTAAAATTAAAATAAAAATAAAATAAAATAAAATAAAATAAAATAAAATAAAATAAAATAAAACTTTTTTAAAAATTTTGAACCCTGAACTCCAGTGTTCGAATATGCTTGGTAAAGGGTCCGGGTTCGGTTAGTCAGTCCTGCTAATAAATATTTCTAAATTTAATAAAATGAGCGACCAACTTTAAAGGTTTCACTGTACAAAATGTCGTTTTTATAATAAAAAAAAATAAATATAAATTGATTTGGATAACTTTTCAATATTTATCCATAAAAAAAATTAATATTCTTAATATTCGAGTCAAATTATAAATAATTCTGATGCATTGATCTAATAAAGAAAAAATATAGGAATTAAAATATTGGAAATTCAACGGGAAAAGCAAAATTAGGAAATTTTTTTTTATTTTTTCCTATGCACAAAAACAATGATGTACATATAAAATAATACTATATTGGCGATTTATTTTAAATCAAAAGTGTCCACATAGAAAACCCACTAAAAAGCGCTACAGCTGACTTCCTATGAAAGGATACATTTTATAAATGAATTTCAAATCTAGTCTATATATATATATTATGATAAATTCCATATTAAATCAGCCAAAAATAATGGATTTCCTTCCGATGCCATCAAAAAATTTAGCTTTGTATATTTGTAGTATAAAAGCAAAAAAAAATTGAAATTATACTTCCTTAAATCACTTACCCCCCTAAGATATGGGGGTTTGAAGAGCGGGAAATGGTACATATATGACAAAATTCATTTCCTTATTTGTCAAATTTCTCCTGGAATAAATTAAGTAATAATTTAAATTTTATTATATAGCATAATATTGGATCTTTAATATGATATGTAAAAAAAAATGTGATTGATACCTTATTAATGCCCAAAACCGGAAGCACAAAATGAAAAATGGCTATATTCTGAAAAAATGTATGCCAGATTGACGAATCTAAGAAAATAAGTCTCCAGACAAAAAAAAATCCCCGTTTTTTAAAGATACTAAATATTGCAAAATTAACAAAATTGTAGAAATAATTCCTTATAAATATATCCAAGAGATAAAAATCCTCAAAATAAAATATTAAATTTTGAGAAAATCAATTCCGCGAAAATTTTCTAAGAATTTATTACTGGAGATTTCCTTTTCCGGGGATTTATTTTCTGCTTACCCAGATTGATTTATATTTGTACCAATTCTTAGAACTGGGATGAAAGTGGATTCAGGAGTTATAACCCTTTATATGGCGAAAATCGATCAAATTTAACATAAATATAATCATATATTTTTAATGAATACTCAATTGATAATTTTTATTTAAAAATTATATCTACTTTATTAAAAATATTTTTTCGGTTAAATTTTTTCTTAAATAATTTTGAATATACATTTTAGCATAAGGGTACGGCTAAAGAAAAAAAAAATTTAATGAAATAATTCCCTCATTTATACATTACGTGTCCATTGATTTCGTAAAACTTCAATAATAAACTAATTTTTTTTTCCAAAATTAAAATATTTTTTAGGAACTATCTAAAAATGAAATATCATCTTGCAAACAGGTTTTTAACATAAAAAAAAATTTCTGGAACACAAAATTTTTATATTTTTGTTCCCCTAAAATAGTGTCGTTCAACGGCAACTCAATATTTCATTCAGAAAAAAAATTATTCCAGCGTGAAGATTTTGCTAATAGAAGGAACAATATATTATCGTAATCTCCAGGGCTTAGGCAATATTTTAGCTTGATATAATATTTAGTTAGTCGTTTTAAATAATTCGGCTTAAAACGAACC